GGAAGGACTCCACAGAGGTGATGGGGGAGTCCATCACGGAGGGTGGGGGCGGGGGGACAGTGCTCTTCCTGAAGTCCACAATCATCTCCACTGTCTTCTGGGCGTTCAGCTCCAGGTTGTTACCACTGCACCAGGACACCAGCCGGTCCACCTCCCTCCTGTAGGCGGACTCATCGTTGTTGGAGATGAGTCCAATGAGGGTGGTGTCGTCCGCGAACTTGATCAGCTTCACGGAGTCGTGGCTGGAGGTGCAGTGGTTGGTGTACAGGGAGAAGAGCAGGGGAGAAAGAACACAGCCCTGTGGGGCTCCTGTATTTATAATCCGAGAGTCCGAGACATTCTTCCCCAGACGCACTCGCTGCTTCCTGTCCGTCAGGAAGTCAATGATCCACCTGCAGGTGGAATCGGGCACGTTGAGCTGGGAGAGCTTGTCCTGGAGCAGGGATGGCAGGATTGTGTTGAAGGCAGAGCTGAAGTCCACGAACAGGACCCTGGCGTAGGTCCCCGGGGAGTCCAGGTGCTGTAGGATGTGGTGGAGGGCCAGGTTAATGGCGTCGTCTACAGATCTGTTGGCTCTGTAGGCGAACTGCAGGGGGTCCAGGAGGGGGGAGGTGAGGGACTTGAGATGGGAGAGAACCAGGCGTTCAAATGACTTCATGACGACAGACGTAAGTGCTACAGGTCTGTAGTCATTGAGTCCTGTGATCCTGGGCTTCTTCGGGACGGGGACAATGATGGAGGATTTGAAGCAGGCCGGGACATGGCAGGACTGCAGAGAGGAGTTGAAAATGTCCGTGAACACAGGAGTAAGCTCACTGGCGCAGTGTCTCAGAGTGGCCGGAGACACGTGGTCCGGGCCAGGAGCTTTGCGGGGGTGCAGCCTCAGGAAGAGTTGTTTAATCTCTTTAGCGGCTATTGTTAGGCTGGGGGCAGGGCTGATGGGTGGGTCGTTAGAGTAGTGGGGGGTGGGGGAGGGAGAGGTGTCAGGGGCAGCATCAAAGCGACTGAAAAATAAGTTCAGATCGTCAGCTAGCTTGTGGTCATCAGCACAGGGGGGGGCTTTGGGTTTGTAGTTGGTGATCTCCCGTAGGCCCCTCCAGACAGAAGCAGTATCGTTGTTACCAAACTGCTCCTGTAGTCGTTCTCTGTGCCGGGACTTGGCTGCTTTCAGTTCTTTCCTGAACTGATATTTAGCTGCTTTGTAGCCGCTGCGGTCCCCCTCCCTGAAAGCAGACTCCTTTGCTTTCCTGAGCTGCCGGAGTTTAGCAGTGAACCAGGGTTTGTCGTTGTTATAGATGACCCTGGTCCTTGTTGGAATGATGCTATCCTCACAGAAGTGGATGTATGACGTCACAGTGTCCGTATATTCATCCAAGCTGTCTGTGGCAGCTCTGAAAAGGTCCCAGTCTGTAGATTCCATGCATGCGCGCAGCTCTTCCACAGCTTCATCAGACCACACTTTGGAGCTCCTCACTGCAGGTTGAGAGCTTTAGTCTCTGTCTGTAAGCAGGAACCAGATGTATCATGGAGTGATCTGAGAAGCCGAGGGCTGGCTTGGGAACAGCGCGAAAAGCTCCGCGCACGGTGGTGTAACAGTGATCCAGAGTGTTCTCCTCTCTGGTCGGGCATTTGATAAACTGTCTGTATTTGGGTAATTCCTGGCTCAAGTTTCCCTTATTAAAATCCCCCAGGATAATAATCAGAGAGTCCGGGTATAAGCGTTCCATACACAGTACTTGCTCTGCGAGTGCGCGCTGAGCCTCGCGCGCGTCCGTGCATGGCGGTATGTAAACAGAGGCAAGAATGAATGAAACAATTTCCCGCGGGGAGTAATATGGTTTACAATGAATGAAAAGATATTCCAGAGCAGGAGAGCAGTGCTTGGAGATCACTGTCACATCGTTACACCAGTTTGTATTGACGTAGAAACAGAGCCCTCCGCCTCTGCTCTTCCCTGAGAGCGCACAATGGCGATCCGCGCGGAACAGCCCAAAGCCCTGCAGCTCCAGAGCGCAGTCCGGGATCCGCTCATTTAGCCAGGTCTCAGTGAAGCAGAGGACACAGGATGTGGCGAAGTCCTTGTTTCTTCTCATGAGCAGGCTGAGTTCGTCCATCTTATTGCCCAGTGAGCGTACGTTGGAGAGAAAAATGCCGGGGAGAGCCGTGCGCGCTCCTCTCCTCCTAAGACGCACGAGCAGGCCTCCTCGCTTTCCCCTTTTACGGGCCCACACTTTTTTGGCTAGAACATGAACTAAATCAGCCGCAGATGCCAAGAAAACAGGCAATAGGTCCATGGGAACGGTGGGTCGGATGTTCATAAGTTCCTCACGGGTGTAGGAACAGCCAGATGCACAGTTAAAAAGTAAAAACAAAAGAAAAAGAGAGCAGCAAAGAGCCATGTCGACCGTACGAGGCGCCATCTTGTATTCTATTATTATATAAAGCAACACAACAGATTTAAATGTATAAAAACTATACGTGTACAATATTAACACTATCTATCAGGATAGATACTTACCACAGCCAGGCATTTTCATGGTATGGTCGTCTCTTTGAAGAAAACCAGAGAATATAATCCACTGTGTGTCTTTGTGGCTTGCTTCTGTGGCGCTTTTCAGACAAATCGAAAGTATGCTGAGCTATTGACAGCAGCAGGAGTTTAAGTAACAAGTGACGTAGGAGATCAGGAATCCCCCAGAGTCTAACTCCTCCCTCTTTTAGTGCCTTGTTTACCGGCACCCTCTGGTCTCATTTTTATCAACAGCACTTCTTACATAAAGGTAAGAGTGGGGTTTGTTATCGACCAAGACTGCCATTGTTTTCAATAACACATATTATACGGGGCGTTAGGTTTAAGATGGAAAAAGGCACAATAAAGTGATGGAAAATAAGTCAAAAGTAGCTTAAATTTGGTGAAATGTGTCTTAACTTGAGCACATTTTGAGTGTGTTAAAACAAGATTCCCCAAACATGATCTTATTTTATAAAGATACAAGAAATGTCTCACTTGGAATGAGAAAATAAAGCAACAGTTCTTGAAATAAGACTAAATGGATTTGTCCCAAAGTGAATCTTGTTTTAACACAGTCAGAATGAACTCAGATTTAAATAAAAACACTTGATTCTAGCATTTATTATCTCATATTTGATCATTTCTTCAGTGCAGTTACAGATATAATTATATGAATATTTTTTTGAATATGTAAAAATCTTACAGTTTGCCCTTTACCAAATAGTTTTTGGAAAATCCTGATCTGTTTTAGTGTCATACAAATATATTTTCACTGTGTCTTGAGCAAATTCTTTCAACTGTTACAGCCAATGTGAAAACTTGTTGAAGATTGGAGCGACTTTTCAAACCGTTTACTTTACTTTTCTCATTATAAGCCGCACCTGATTATAAGGCGCATTACTACATTATATCATCTTTATTTTCATATATAAGGTAGACCAGATTATAAGGCGCATTATTATATTTTCTTTATTCTCATGTATAAGGTGGACCGGATTATAAAGCGCATTACTACATTATATCATCTTTATTTTCATATATAAGGTGGACCGGATTATAAGGCGCATTATAATTTCATCTTTATTTTCATATATAAATTGGCCTGGATTATAAGGCGCATCATTAGATTATCTTTATTTTCATATATAAAGTGGACCGGATTATAATGCGCATTATTATATTATCTTTATTCTCATATATAAAGTGGACCGGATTATAAAGCGCATTATTAGATTATCTTAATGTTCATATATAAAGTGGACCGGATTATAAAGCGCATTATTAGATTATCTTTCTTCTCATATATAAGGTGGACCGGATTATAAAGCGCATTACTACATTATATCATCTTTATTTTCATATATAAAGTGGACCGGATTATAAGGCGCATTATTATATTATTTTTATTTTCATATATAAGGTGGACCGGATTATAAGGCGCATTATTATATTATTTTTATTTTCATATATAAGGTGGACCGGATTATAAAGCGCATTATTATATTATTTTTATTTTCATATATAAGGCGCACCAGATCATAAGGCGCATTACTACATTATATCTTTATTTTTATATAAGGCGTACCTGATTATAAGGTAAATCATAATATTATACCTTTATGTTCATATATAAATCGCTCTGGATTATTAGGCGCATGGTTGAAATCAAAGGCTTTCATGTGCGCCTATAGTGCAAAAAATACTGTATATCTGTTTATGCAAATCACTCTTTGTATATATTAAAAACAATACAAAGGTGTATTTTAAGTGATATTAAGTGTGTGTAAGAATCCTCCTTTTGTTGGTGACTCCTGCAGTTGTTATCTTCTTTCCTGAGTGTGTGTCTGTGGACAGCGGTGAGTCCAGAGTGTGCTTTTCAGAGGAAGCATTTCGTGTAAACAGGTGGAGAGAGAGAAGGAAACCAAACAGCTTTTCTTTCTTAAGGTTCGCGTGATTCATGACTCATTATTTCTATATTTAAATGAAGCAGTAAAACAGGTCTGACAGAACAACATACAACAGCCTGAGATTAAAACATGCGTCTGGGATTAAAGCAGTGATAAGATAAGTCCGACTGACGCACGACTCATGTTGTTTTCATCTTAATTTAACCTATTTAAAGGCGCGTTCAGACCAAAAGCTTCAAAAAGCTTTTGACGCGCTTCAACTGACGCCGGGATAGTTTTGTCCTTTTGGTGCTTGGAGGTTTTGACGCGCCTGACGCGAGTGACGCGCCTGACGCCGGTGGGAGGAGCTTCTCTGTTGTCTGTGGGAGGAGCTTCTCTGTTGCCTGTAGTCAGGACAGCGGTGGATTTTTCAATGAGCAGCGAGCCTTTATTTGTTATATAAAGCAAAATAACGTTGTTGTAGGGCTTCAACAAAACATGTTCTGGGTTCACCACAGACTGAGGCTGCAGTGTTTGCAGAGTTCCGTCATTTACTCCAGGAGCTGCGTACGGAGGAGTCTCGCTTTCAGCGGTACTTCCGCATGTCACTTGCCCAGTCTGAGTTCTCAAACCCCGGAGCTCGCCTCTCCCTGCCTCTCCCTGCCTCTCCCCGCCTCGCTCTCGCCTCTCCCCGGCTCTCGCTCGCCTCTCACTGCCTCTCCCCGGCTCTCGCCCGCTCGGAGCTGTCTTGCTCTGAGCCAGACTCATCGTCAGCCTGTTCTTATTTTAAATAAACTACGTTTACTACACAGCATGTGTACAATGATTTTGTTACTCAGAACGTTACTACTCATACAAATAATATTACTAATAACAATAATGACAATAAAACAGCAGCAGCAGATACATGACTTCTCTTCATGACAGAGACAGACCCTCTGCTGCTGCTGCTCCTCGTCTCCTGATTGGTTGAAGCCCGCGTCAAAGCTTCAAAAGCTCAGCTTTGCTCAGCTTCGGCGTCAGAGGGATTGTTTTGATACGCGAGCGTTTCGCGCGTCAAAAGCTTCAAGAGTCGTGCGTACTACGCGCGACTCTTGAAGCTTTTGACGCGCGTCAAGTGACGCCGGGCCCCTTGGCTTCACCTGACGCGCTTCACCATTCACTTTCAATGGAAACCTGACGCTTTTGACGCCGAAGTTAAGTCCGGTGTGAACGCCCCTTCAGAGTTATCACAGATTAACATTACATCATATAAACTGTACTTGAAAAACACACTGGTTTGAAAACTACTGCTACTACTGCTGCTACTACAACTACTACTACTACTACTAGTAAGTAAGTAAGTTTTTATTTATATACCGCCTTTTCACTGCAGACCAGAGTCTCAAAGCGGTTTACAATTGTTAATTTTGGGCACTTGTCTCTCACTCCACACAGAGATGGGAGGGGCCAGTACAGGAGGCGTATGCCAGAACTATTGGACATATTTTTAGTGGTAGGGGAAACCGGAGTACCCGGAGGAAACCTACGCAGACACGGGGAGAACATGCAAACTCCACTCAGAAAGGCCCTGCTCCGACCGGGATTCGAACCCAGGACCTTCTTGCTGAGAGGCGAGAGTGCTATCCACTCAGCCACCGTGCCGCCCGGTGCCAACTACTACTACTGCTACTACTACTACTACTACTACTGCTGCTACTACTGCTACTACTGCTGCTACTGCTGCTACTACTACTACTGCTGCTACTACTACTACTACTGCTAATACTGCTACTACTACTACTACTGCTAATACTGCTACTACTACTGCTGCTACTACTACTACTGCTGCTACTACTGCTACTACTACTACTGCTGCTACTACTGTCAAACATAGATTTTAGCCTGGGACTCCAAATCTAAAGCCAGTTTTATTTGTGTGTAGTGTTTTTAGTGTGACCTTGGTTTTATATACTGACTTTGGCTTGAGCCTGGGACAGTCCTGATTGATAGCCCTCCCCCTTATGATTGATTGGTCGGACTGGAGGACTTTCCCCTTTTTAAAACCCGGACAGAGGGACTGAGGGGAGGAAGGAAATCGGAAGCGTTACGGGGGACGAGGACAAGGGGAAACAAGGACCAGCACGCACCAGGACCGGCACGCACCAGGACCGGCACCCACGCGGAGCAGCACGCACGAGGAGCAGCACGCCCCAAGGAGAGACCTGCAGAGCCCACATACAACGCCCCGTAAAGCTGAGTATACAGGGACGTGATCAAGCAGCCTCAGTTGGTGTGTGTGCGTGCGCGTGAGACCGGAGCGTGATTGCCCACTCTCTCCGCAGCTGCATTGGCGTGGCGCATCAGGCCCCAGCCCAAGGAGCAGCGGACCCGGAGCAGCGGACCCGGCCCAGCGGAGCAGCGGACCCGGCCCAGCGGATCCAGCTCAGGGGAACACTGTATATAACGCCAGACGAGCTGAGTACTTACAGCTACCCTGGTGTGGCGCACCAAGCCCCAGTGGAGCAGCAGACCCGGCCCAGCAGAGAGCGGCCCCAGCAGAGCGGAGCAGCGCGCGCCAGGCCCAGTCCGAGCCCCAGCAGAGCGGAGCAGCGCGCGCCAGGCCCAGCCCGAGCCCCAGCAGAGCGGAGCAGCGCGCGCCAGGCCCAGTCCGAGCCCCAGCAGAGCGGAGCAGCGCGCGCCAGGCCCAGCCCGAGCCCCAGCAGAGCGGAGCAGCGCGCGCCAGGCCCAGAGAGCGGCCCCAGCAGAGAGCGGCCCCAGCAGAGAGCGGCCCCAGCAGAGAGCTCCTCCTTAACCTTTTATTTTGACCAGACCTTAAGACCCTTAGTCTTATTTTAACTCTTAATTGGCCATTTTAATTAGCGCCATAGGGCATTTTATAATCATATTTATTAATAAAAGTATCTGAAGTCATAAGCCTGTTTATATTCATTTTTAAACAGTTATTGGTTGTTCCACACCTGACACTACTACTACTACTGCTGCTACTACTACTACTACTGATACTGCTGCTACTACTGATACTGCTACTACTACTGCTACTACTGCTACTACTACTGCTGCTGCTACTACTGCTACTACTACTACTGCTAGTAGTAGCCACCGGGCGGCACGGTGGCTGAGTGGATAGCACTCTCGCCTCTCAGCAAGAAGGTCCTGGATTCGAATCCCGGTCGGACCAAGGCCTTGCTGAGTGGAGTTTGCATGTTCTCCCCGTGTCTGCGTAGGTTTCCTCCGGGTACTCCGGTTTCCCCTACCACTAAAATATGTCCAATAGTTCTGGCATGTGCCTCCTGTTCTGGCACCCCCACTCCCATCTCTGTGTGGAGTGAGTGGACAAGTGCCCATAATTAACAATTGTAAACCGCTTTGAGACTCAGATCTGCAGTGAAAAGGCGGTATATAAATAAAGATTACTACTACTAAAAGATTACTACTACTAAAAGATTACTACTACTGCTGCTGCTGCTGCTGCTGCTACTACTACCACTACTACTAACACTGCTGCTACTACTACTACTTCACCTTGGAGAGACCCATGAGGAAACGCATTAGACTTATTAGATTTAAGCATGTTTATTGATTGAGCATGTTTGGCGCCCTAGGCCCGGGCGGGATGCTGTTGAGCACGGCGCTTGCTCGCGTGCATGATCCCCCCGGGGCCTAGGCACTGGTGACGGCAGAGGCAGTAGGCAACACGCTTCATGCGAGAAGGAGGAGGTGGGGCGGCGGCGGCTTGCAGACTTCAGAAGATCGGGAAGTGGGCGTCTCCGGCTTTTAACTTGCTGTCCTGGTGGTTATTGGTTGACTGGGTGTGGGGCGTTGCTGGTATTGATGAGTCGAGGAAGAGCAGCCTGTGGCCTGGCAGCAACAGCCGGGTCTACCACGGTGAACTTTCGCGAAAGCTCCATTTCACCTTGGAGAGACCCATGAGGAAACGCATTAGACTTATTAGATTTAAGCATGTTTATTGATTGAGCATGTTTGGCGCCCTAGGCCCGGGCGGGATGCTGTTGAGCACGGCGCTTGCTCGCGTGCATGATCCCCAAAAGCGGGCCTGCGATTGGGATAGCAGGACGTACTGCGCGGGCCTGAGAGCAAGAGCGAGCTGAGAACATGCGCACGCGCGCATGTTCAGCCAGCCGCTGTAGCAGAGGAATCTTTGAGCGAACTGAGAACATGCGCGCACGCGCATGTTCAGCCAGCCGCAGCAGAGGAATCTTTGAGCGAACTGAGAGCATGCGCGCACGCGCATGCTCAGCCAGCCGCAGCAGAGGAATCTTTGAGCGAACTGAGAACATGCGCGCACGCGCATGCTCAGCCAGCCGCAGCAGAGGAATCTTTGAGCGAACTGAGAGCATGCGCGCACGCGCATGCTCAGCCAGCCGCAGCAGAGGAATCTTTGAGCGAACTGAGAACATGCGCGCACGCGCATGTTCAGCCAGCCGCAGCAGAGGAATCTTTGAGCGAACTGAGAACATGCGCGCACGCGCATGTTCAGCCAGCCGCAGCAGAGGAATCTTTGAGCGAACTGAGAGCATGCGCGCACGCGCATGCTCGGCCAGCCGCAGCAGAGGAATCTTTGAGCGAACTGAGAATATGAGCGCACGCTCATATTCAGCCAGACGCTGAAGCAAGGAATCTTTGAGCGTTTGAGGAAAGTGCGTGCCGCCACCAGAATCTTATTGCTTACTTGCTTTGCTGGGAGCTTACGATGAAGCCGGTAGACGTTGTGCTGCCATGATAGCGGTCGCATCTGGCCGGATGTAGGTGGAGAAGCCGAAGAGGACCAGCGCCCCAGCCGTTGCAGAGGAAGAGTGGGGGAGCCCCAGCGAGGTCGTGCGCGTGGCAGCGCCTATCCTGAAGGAGTGGGCTGTATAGAGCTGGGGAGACAAATTGCAGAGGAGCAGTAGGGATCTTAGCTGAGCTCTGAACCAGGTTGCTGTTATGGGAAGGTTGACTGGAGTGAGAATTAGAGGTCCGTTAAAATCTCCTTTTTGCCGCGGAGGCGAGTGTAACGCATCATGGACCTGTAGGGGCAGAGAGATGTGTCGAAGCGAGCTATTATTGTGTTGCAGGCGCCTCTGATCTTTGAATGTTTGAGATGAAGGTTGAATGGTCAGGGGACATTATGTTGGGTGAGAAGAGCGACCTTTGTTTAATGCTTCCACTACGTCGAGATGATCACGCATGACAGAGATCCTCTTTCTCTGCCACGTGTGATTCCGCAGCGCGCAGGCCACGACCACTGGGAATGTCTCGTGTAGGGCAGAGGAAATGCTCCGGGGAAGTAGCGGGCCACGGCCGGCGAACCACTGGTCCTGGAAGAATCCCCCAAAAACCCACGGAAGGGGCAGCGTCCGTGTAGAAGCGGAGACCTGTAGGGGCAGAGAGACACACCGGAGAGGGCCATTGATGTTGCAGGCGCCTTTACGCTTAGAATCTTGGGTTGGAGAGGAGATAATTAGGCCAGTAGGATAGGACGGGAAGCCGTGTCTCGGACCGCATTGAAGGTTGAGTGAGCAGTGGTGAAACGCTTATGCAGAGAAGCCACAGAAGGCGAGCAGAAGATGCTGCGAGGAGGGCAGACATGTACTTGGAAGATGAGCCGGAGTTCAGCGCCGCTGCAGGATGGGCAGCATGATGGGGAGCCTGTGATCAGAAGAGTGAAGAACCAGGTATGGATGCCTTTGATTAGGAGTCCGATTGACGGCTCAGCGCAGCTACTTGGCCAGCTGCATCTGATAGAATCAGAAGATTCAGTAGAGAGATGAAGCACGACCGCCGAAGCGACCCTGGGAGCATAGGTGCGAGTCCGGCGCAGCGCGGCATACTCAGCCGGGCTGCATCCATTAGAAGCAGGATAAGCTTCTGAGAGAATGGGTTGCAGTAGCAGTAGCAGCAGCGGCAGCAGCAGTAGCCTCAGATAATAACAGCAAAAGTCCTGTATCAAGCCGCAGTAGCAGCAGCAGCAGCAGCAGCGTCCTTAGAAAATAACAGTAATAATTCTGTATCAAAGCCACAGCAGTAGAATGTTGTTGTAGCTGTTCAGGGTTTCAGTAAAAGAGATGCGAAGTGAAGAGAGATGGCAAAGTAAATGAAGCAGCAGCAGCAGTAGTAGCAGCAGTAGCCGTATGAAGCAGCAGCAGTAGCAGTATGAAGCAGCAGCAGCAGTAGCAGTATGAAGCAGCAGCAGCTGCAGCATCCGTCGATAATAGCAGCAATAATCCTGTATCAAAGCCAGAGCAGTAGAATATTGTTGTAGCCGTTTAGTGTTTCAGTAAAAAAGATGCGAAGTGAAGAGGGATGTCAAAGTACATGAAGCAGCAGCAGCAGCAGCGCAGCAGTAGCAGCAGCAGTAACGGTAGCAGTATGAAGCAGCAGAAGCAGCATTAGCAGTAGCAGCAGTAGCAGTATGAAGCAGCAGCGGTTGCAGCATCCGTAGATAATAACAGCCATAATCCTGTATCAAAGCCAGAGCAGTAGAATATTGTTGTAGCTGTTTAGTGTTTCAGTAAAAGAGATGCGAAGTGAAGAGAGATGTCAAGTACATGAAGCAGCAGCAGCACGGCAGCAGATGCAGTATGAAGCAGCAGCGGCAGCAGTAGCAGCAGTAACGGTAGCAGCATGAAGCAGCAGCAGCAGCAGCGGTTGCAGCATCCGTAGATAATAACAGCAATAATCCTGTATCAAGCCACCGCAGTAGAATAGAGTTGAAGCTGTTTAGTGTTTCAGTAAAAGAGATGCGCAGTGAAGAGAGGTGTCAAAGTAAAGAAGCAGCAGCAGCACGGCAGCAGATGCAGTATGAAGCAGCAGCGGCAGCAATAGCAGCAGTAGCGGCAGCAGAAGCAGCAAGCAGCAGCAGCACAATGCAATTCATACGAACAACAGACGTGTCACGCCAGCGTGCGCCGCTTGTCTCCGTGAGCCAGGTTACGTACGTGTCTGAAGAGCCGAGCCGTAGAGATAGGTGCAGCCTGGGAGCCTGCGGAGCGGCAGCGGCAGGAACAGCAGCAGCGGCACATGTAGTAGTAGGAGCAGTAGGAGCAGCAGGAGCAGGCAGCAGGGACAGGCAGCAGCAGGAATAGGCAGCAGCGGGATCAGGCATCAGTAGGAACGGCAGCAGGGACCGCAGCAGCGGCGGTCAGAGAACCATGCCCACGGTTGTTTAAGAGCCTGAGGAAATAAATCAACCCGAATCCGAAACATTCCCATGCGAGAAACAGATGTCCCCTGGAGCCAACTTGCTGCTTTGGTTATGGCAGATACGCATGAACGATCACTGATCCATGCGTTCATTAGCTCCAGCTCCACTTCAAACCCATTGCATATTCACATTGGGCCCCTTTTCTTTCTGCTGCACTTTCGAAATGCAACAACTGCAGTTTAGTTACCCAGTTTAATACTAGTGACCTAGCTATTTAAATGCATGGCCCCTCCTTCCTCCTGCAGATAGACGAATTTAAATACATCATTTAACAATAGTGACTTGCGAGTAATGAGATTGATGCTGTAAAGATGGCGCCGTGCAAGAGCTCTGTGTGTGCCGTCTGGAGCACGATGGGGTTGTCTTTGCACATTTTTTCCAACGTGGTTTTACTGCAAGTGGCAGAACATGAATCTGAATTAATGCACATTGCTCCTCTTATATCCCTCAGACATTGGAGATTGATGCCATTTAAGATGCATTGTCCCTCAGTTAGCTCAACACGTGTAAAACGGAGCCTGCAGACCAAGCACGGGCGAAGACTGACGCCTGCAGTCAAGTGCGTAGGGCAAAAAACCAGCCACCTGCAGCCTAGACTCCGGGATTAAACTGTCCGCGGTCGGCACTCTCA